GGACACAACATCTTTGTATGTGGTGCTGAGGATCGAACCCGGGCCGCACACATGCCAGGCGAGCGCGCTACCGCTTGAGCCACATCCCCAGCCCTCTTCTCAGTCTTTTAATTGTTTTSCTCTTGATTTTTATCTCTTACAAGGGGCTTGATGTGCTGAATGACTCAGTGTTTCTGTTGCAGTGGTTAAAACACCATTTTGTTATCGAGTTACATGTGGTGGTAGAGTGTACTTTGACATACTATGTGTACTCACATAAGAACACTGGGAGGTTATGTTCACTTCATCCTACTGTCTTTCCCATCCCCTTCCCGTCCCCTCACTCTCCTGTCCAATCCAGTGAACCTCCACCCCCTCCACCACCCCCATTGTGAGTCGGCATCTGCATATCAGATTTTTGGGTTTGGCTTATTTCACTTAGCATGATACATTCCATCCATTTCCTGGCAAATGCYATAATCTCATTCTTTATGGCTGAGTAATTCTATTGTGTATATGTGCCACATTTTCTTTATGCATTCATAAAGGGCACCTAGGTTGATGACATAGCTTAGCCATTGTGAATTGAGTTGCTATGAACATTGATGAGGCCATGTTGCTATARTATGCTGATGTTAAGTCCTTTTGGGTACAAAATTAGGAGTGCACCACATTATTTGTGTGTGTGTATATGTGTGTGTGTTAGTCTGCCCAAGCTACCAGAGCAAAATATAGTGGACTGTGTGGCTTAGCAGACATTTTCTCACAGTTCTGGGTCTAAGCTGGAGTYTGAGGGCCAGCAGGTCTGGCTTCTTGTGAGGACACTCTCTGTGACCCTGTAATGAGGCCCTGTCTGTGCACCTCAGGTAGGCTCCCCACTGAGCTAGGCTGGCAGGTCCGGCCCAGACGGCCCGTTGGGCCAGATCTCTGAGACAAGCTTCCTGAGTCGGGTGGCTTGCTGTGCTGTTTCTCCTCATGTCTGTGTTTGGCTGTMGTACTTTAAGTTCAGACATTCTCTCATGGGAATGGCCAGGCTCCCGCTGGCCCGGCCGCAGCGTGCTCTGTGGAGAAGGCTGGCAGGTGTAGGACTTAACTGCTGGCCCCTTGGTTCTTGCCCCCTCGYTGCCATGGCTGTGGGTGCCTTACCCGTGTGGGGGAGTCTTGCACAGTGGCAGGCGGACCCCAGCCTAGGGACATCTGCCCCATGCTCCTTCCCTGCTCTCTCGGAGTCATTGGCTTTAACAAGAGCACAGCTGCCGCAGCCACCGCCCATGCCGGGTGCTATGCCCTGGTCTGCTCCTGGTGGCTGAGGCCTCCTGGCTGCCCATTGCTGCTCAGTTACGGCCCATCCTCCTTATCTGCTTCTCGCCTCCAGCCTGCCTCTGCACTCTCGGCTCCTCACTGCTTCATTTCTGTCTTGATAAGACCATTTTCCTTGGATTCCACTCAAAGCCTAGAGCTGGCCAGGTGCAGTGGCCAYACCTGTGATTGTAGGGACTCGGGAGGTTGAGGCAGGAGGATGCAAGTTCAAGACCAACCTGGGCAACTTAGATCCTGTCATAAAATGAAAAATAAAAAGGACTGGGGGGGTGTAGTCAGTGGTAGAGCACCCCTGGTTTCTATTCCTTGTATCAAAAGAAGAAAGAAAAAACAAAAACCCCTGCAGCTTCATGGCCTGACCAAGAAAGCGCTTTTAAGRATAAAGAAAGGAATGCCTGCGAGACCCACGGTGCGAGGACTGGGCCTGAAGGGGCGGCCTTCCCTCCTGAGTCTCCCTCTGCTGTGCTCAGGCTTGGTGTGTTCCAGGCTCTCCCGTGTGGTAGGGTTTCTGCGGATGCGCTGAAGAGGTTCCTCAGCCACACCCTGACCCAGGTTCTCACTCACAGCCCTGTACTGAAAGGTAGGCCCACACCTTGGCCCCTGTGCACTCTGGGGCAGCTCCCTGGGCCCTGATGGATTCATGGCTCTGTCCTCTACAGGAACTTGGGCCCTGAGACCTGAGGGTGCAGCTTAATGCTCTGAGTAGCCCCAGGTTTTCGACAGCTCTCTATTACCAAATGTCCTTTCATTTCAAAGTGATCTCCTGTGCTAGAGGTATGCCCTTAGGGTGGAGCACTTGCCTGGAATGTGTGAGACTATGGGTTTCATCTCCAGCATTACCAAAAAATAAGATGATTCTGAGCTTTCTTACGAGAAATTAAGAGAAAACAGAAGAATTATCACTTGTCTTGCTACCAAAATAGAAATATCTGCAATGCTGCTGGAGAGGTGAAGGACCTGGAGAGAGAGGGTGGGCTCTGAGCAGACTTGCCATTGTATGTAAGGACTTGTGCAGAGCCTGAGTCCTGGGGCCAGCACCCCCAGGTCCCAAGGGAGATGGGCACTTCACTGGAGTTAAATACACAAACTTCCATGTGGAAGCTTTTTAAAAATTTTTTTTGGTTGTAGTTGGACACAATACCTTTGTTTTGTTTATTTTTATGTGGTGCTGAGGATCAAACCCAGGGCCTCGCACATTCGAGGCAAATGCTCTATTACTGAGCCACAACCCCAGCCCTCCATGTGGAAGCTTTAAAACTGTTTGATAAATGCCAACTTGAAGCTCATGTCTGTTTCCCTCCTGGAGCGTCTGATGCAATTCAGAGGCAGCGAGAGTGGAGCTTCGTCAGGACCCACCCTCTGCTCACCACGCTGTACCGCAGGGTGAGTGTCTGCTGGCTGTCCTGTGCCTGCACTGCACCCAGGGTGGGGCGGGGGCCCGATCTGAGGCTGGCTCTGGCTTCGGCTCGGTATCCTGGTCACTCCCTCATGGACACCGACCACCCCTTCTGAGACGAGTGTTTCTCCAGCCAGCGCTGGCCACTGTGAGAGGTGATGCCACTTGTTCACTCTGAGCACTCCTTGATCCCTGCTGGATCCGCCCTTTTGGTGGACCCCGACTCTGCAGGGAGAAGGACCAGTGCCGGTGCGATGGGTTTGCCGTGGTGTTGAGGGAGCTGGGACTTTGATTTCAGCTCCTGGTGATGCTGAGTCCAGAGGAGTCGGTCGGCCGTTTGCAGGAGGTTCTGGAGACACGTGAGGTCAACTGGCAGCGCGTGCTGTCCTGTGTGTCCACACTGGTCGTCTGCTTTCCAGAGGCACTGCAGCTGGTGCAAGGTGTGCACTCGGCTGTAGGGTGTGAGCGAGTGGGTGCACAGTGGTGGCAGCAGAACCTGCTGGGGGTCGAATCCACCCGAAGCCCTTCCTGCTGCCCAACTCTGAGCCCTGTTGCTGGGAAGGTCCAGATTGCCTGTGGCCGAGGAGTGAAGGAGTGGTGCTACTTCCTCTGTCCAGTGGTCTGTGCTGCAGTTGTGGCTCAGTCCTTGGGAAGCTGGTGCTTGGGAGGGCACATCCCAGCCAGGATGGCCTAATCTGCTTGCTGACAGTGTCACTGTCTGACAGATTGGGTGGCCCGTTTGATGGCCCATGCCTTCGAGAGCTACCATCTGGACAGCATGGTCACTGCCTTCCTGATTGTGCGCCAGGCTGCCCAGGAGGGCCCCTCTGTATTCCCATCCTATGCAGACTGGTTCAAGGTGAGTTTCCTGGGAAGTTGAGTGCCGTCCTCCTGGCTGGCTAGTGGAGGTACCATTGGGGTCCCAAGTGCTGCTGTCTCATGAGAAAAGAGCTTCAGGATGGCTTTGTGGCAGCGATGTCCCCGACAGGCTTCCTTGTGTGTCTCCAAGTTTTATTCTGTGTCCTCCTTCAACTGCTGGACAAAGGCTTTTTCCCTCTTTTTTTTTTTTTTTTTTTTGGTGGGGGGAGGATACCAGGGATGGAACTCAGGGCCACTCGACCACTGAGCCACATCCCCAGCCCTACTTTATGTTTTATTTAGAGATAAGGTCTCACTGAGCTGCTTAGTGCCTCGCTATTGCTGAGGCTGGCTTTGAACTCGAGATCCTCCTGCCTCCACCTCTGAGCCACTGGGATTACAGGCGTGCACCACTGTGCCCAGTGCTCCTTCTCTCTTGTGGAGAGTCAGTAAACCCAGTAGGTGGGAGTGAAAGCAAGTGCTGGGCAACCTCAGCAGGACACCTGTGCCTGTGGTTTCCCTGGAGGTCTGAGTGCAGGCTTTGTCCTCGGAGGCCTGTGTCCTTGCTCTGTGTCCCTCCGTTAGTCCACCTGCTCTGTGATTTGTCCTGCAGTTCCCACACCTGCTGCTGTCAGACATGGCAATGGAGGGCTTTGGAAGTGCTGGTCAAGAGCACACCAAGCTCTTCTGTGCAGGGCAGTGGGGAAGGTACACAGGAGGCTGCTCTTGACCCAGTGTGGCCCCTGTTCTCGCTGCAGCTGGGTCCTCATGATGCCTGGAGTAGTAGCTCTGGGGTTGGCAGGAGCTGGTGCTCTGTGCCCCGTAGTCAGCACAGGGTAGGTTCTGGTCTGTGGGAGCATGCCCAGTCCTTTCCTAGGCTTGCTCTTTGCAGGTACACACTGTGTGCTCAAAGCCACTGCTGACCCAAAGCCTCCTTCCCCCTCCCGCTTTGGTCCCTGGTCCTGTTGTGGCGTCCTCTGGTAGATACCCGCTGCTCAGAATGGTTTTTGACTTTTCTTTGAGTAAACGTTCAGCCTCCTTCTCAGCCAGGGCACGGCTGTGACCTGTCTTAAGTGTGTGGACCTGAATTGCTTCTCTTGTCTCTCTTTCAGCAGCAGCTTCTGCTTGTGGGTCAGACCGAGGCAGGGCATGCACAGCCTGTGGGCAGGTACCTCACTGAGCAGCACTCTGCCTTCTCTCTCTCCAGGCCTCGTTTGGGAGTGCACGGGGCTACCACAGCTGCAGCAAGAAGGCTTTGGTCTTCCTTTTCAAGTTCCTGTCCAGCCTCGTGCCCTGGGAAGCCCCCCGGTACATGCAGGTGAGGAGCCGCCTGCAGCGGTGGTCCCTGGAGCTCTCTGCCCTCACTTGTGCGGGACGTGGGAGGGTGGAGGCCTGGGAAGATGTGGGCAAGACGAGAGGTGGTGTAGCCAGTAGAGACAGATCTCATTTTCTTTAAAAATGGTATATTTTTTAATGCGTTTAAGGAAAAGAATCTGGAAGGATATAGCCTGAACTGCCTAGGGTCACCACTCCTAGGAGTAGAGAGCAGGCAACAGACCTCTCACGAGTTTACTGTAGTTTGAGTTTTCCTAACAAGTCCATTTTAGTTTCATGACAAGCCCCAGGCTGGGTGTGGGCGTCCACCTGGGGCCTCTCCCACAGAGAGGCTGGGGAAGGAAGTTAGAGACCTTTGGTTCATCAGCTAACTGCCCCAGTGTAGCCTGGTTTTGTTAGCGTATTGTGATCACATGTGGTGTGCAGGTAGCTTGGGCAGAACTGTACATGCAGGGAGTTTGATGTCGGCCCTCCTGGGCCCCTCCTCTTCCCTCCCCCGTCTCCCTCCTCTGTCTTCTGGTCTTCCTTTCCCTGTTGTTGATGTTTGATTGGTGCTTGCTACAGTACGTAAGTTCATGTGCATGTACGAGACATGATTCTGTTAGGTTCACTCCACATTTTTCTCCTTTTCCCATTCCTTCTCCCTCTGGTCCTCCTCCTACCCACTGATCTTCCCTGTGTTTCTGTGTCTTCATGAAATCCGGTCCCCTCCCCAACTTTCCCTTACTTTCCTTTATCTTCCTCATGGGAGAGAAAACATTTGATCCTTGACTTTCTGAGTCCGGCTTACCTAGCATGGTGTTCTCAATTTCTATCCATTTACCTGCAGATGCTGTGATTTTACTCTCATTATGGCTGGGTAGAACTCCGCTTTGTACACATGCACATTTTCTCTATCTGTTCCTCTGTTTACGGGCACCTGTTCTGGTTCCATAGCTTGGCTGCTGAGAATCATGCTGTTGTGGATACTGACATCTCAGCCTCTACTCAGGAGTCCCCACTACATTCCAGAGGGGCTGTGCCCCCACAGCCAGGGGCTAGATCCTGCTGCGCCTGCCCACTCCCAGCTCTGGGCTGCTTCTGGGTGCTGTTGTGCTGAGGGAGGAGGAGCAGTCAATCTGAGCCCCCTGTGCACCCCAGCCCCCACCTCTGCGGTCCCCAAGGCCTTCTCCTGCGCCCTGGCCTGTGCAGAGCCTCTCCCGCATTCAGCCACCTGCCCTCTCCTGGGTCTCTGTGGTAGCTTCTCTGCCTTTTTTGCCTCTGGTGCAGCTCCAGCTGCTGGCCAGAGCCTGGGTTAGTCCTTGCAGGCCGTGTCTTTCTGGGCTCCTGTTCCATTGTCATTTCCCCCTGGACACAAGCTCAGTGTGGGGCGGTGGGTGCCCTTTTCACAGCACACTGCCTACCACGGATCCATCATTCTGGTGGTGTCGCAGATGTGGCATTGGTGTGGACCTGCTGTCCTCTGGTTGACCGGGATGTTGGTGGGTCTGTGCAGCTGCAGGTGCCGCTGTACCTGGAGCCTCTGGCTGCCTGGCCCTGGCGTCAGAGTTTCTTCTCTGCATTCTGCCTGGAGGTGGCCCTCCACTGCCCAGCATGTGTTGGGCCGCTGTGGCCGTCTTGGTGTGGCAGTGCCTGGTGCCCTGGGACTGATGTTGCCATGTGTCCTCGCAGGTGCATGTTCTCTACCCGCCCCTGGTGCCCGGGAAGTACCGCACCCTCCTCACTGACTACGTGGCCCTGGCCAAGACACGGCTGGCTGACCTCAAGGCAAGTCTGCGTGCGCTGGGCCTGCCAGCACCACTGAAGCCATCTTTGTTTTCATGTTCTTGTTTTTCTTTTCTGAAGGTTTCTCTGGAGAATATGGGGCTCTACGAGCATTTGTCCTCAAGTGAGGATGTCACAGAGGTGGGTCACCTTGGGCTGCTCTGTGGGTCTGGGGTCCGGCCCTCATTCCTGGGCCTCAAGCTCCAGCTCCTGGGCTCTCTCTGTCCTGCGCCTGGCTCGCGGCAGTTCCCTGAGGGCGTCTGGTCAGTAGTGGCCCACAGGTGCCTCATTTGGGGTGGCTTGCTGCCAGGGTCTCACCTACACCCCGAGTAGGCGATGGAAATGAGTTCCTCTTGGTGGAATGGGCTGGCTGCAGAATAAAAAAGCCAAGAAAGAGAAAATGAGGAAAAAACCACAGGGCACAGAAAGTGATTTTTAAAAGCAGGGGCGGGAGGGGGTAGCCGATCTTAGGGACTGAGTTTTCACACTAAAAAGAAACCCAGGGCAAGGTGGAGCCCATGCTGGCTTTATTTATTATCAGGGAACATCAAAGGTTTTCCAGGGAATGTTCTTTTCCAAATCAGGTGGGAGGTGGGCTGTCCAGTTTCCAACGAGTTACGCCCAACTCCAGAGGCTATGAGAGGGGTCTTCCTTAGTAGAGCAGAGATAGAGGTCATGTGCATTGGGCAATCCATTGAATGGGAGGAACCATAGAATAGCTAGGTCTCCCTGGCTTCCATACAAAGAGAAGACCATCAAGTAATTCATGGTGGCTCTCCGTACCAGGGCTTCTCAGCATTTGTGGGCTGGAGTGGAGAGGTGAGAGGTGGTTGGCTGCATTTGTCTAGGAATTAAAGAGAAGTGCCAGTGGTTGTTATGGACCAGATGTCAGCTGGCCATGTGACGCATGTGTTGCTGTAGAAACAGCTTCTCCATCTTTTAAGACTCTGTGCTGCTGTGAGTTGCTGAAGAATAGGTACAGAGGCCACTGAAGTGCTCGGTGAACCACTGCCAGGCCTTGTCCTTGGAGATTTGGTGCTATTTATAAGTTACTCATGACTGACTTCTCATAATTTTAAATTTCAAAAGTTAAGTCTCCACTTGTTCCCACCTAGGAATCCCCTTGAGGGCAGCCCCTGACATCTTAGAGCGGGCAGCAGATAGCATCCCACTCAATCTAGGCGCTCTGGCTTCTCTAGAGGGCTGAGCTGTCCCCAAGGGCCCAGGCTGCTGGGTTAGTGCTTTTGAGGGCAGAAGACAGCCAGTGTGGCCTCTTTCCCTGTTTGCATGTATCTGGAGGGTCTATGTGCACATTCCAGGTCCCCTTTACCTCTCTGCATGCATTTGGAGGATCCATGTGCGTGTCCCAGTTCCACTTGCTGGGTAGTACCCTCCTCAACCTTCACCTTCATTTATGTAGTTTTTGCATAAATGAAGGGCCTAAAACATGCTGAGCATGTGCTCAGCTGTGCTACTTCCCAGCCCTAAGCTTTTACCTCCCGATTGCTGAGAATCCTGGCAGCGCCAATGTTAGCCCGCTCTGTCACATTGTCCCCCATGCCAACTAAAGTGGAACAGCAGGCATGCCACTTAAGGCGGCTCCAGAGTGGCTCTTGCAGCCCTCTCCCACATGCAGGTCCAAGAAGGTGGGGCTTACGGGTTGGCCTCTGCTTCCTTACCTCCCTTTTTCTCCTCCCTTTGCAGAACCAGCCCCACAGCCAGGCAGCTCAAGACGTGGAGAAGGCCCTCCTAGTGTTTGAGCACACGGGGAAGATCCCAGTCCCGGTCATGGAGGCCAGGTAGGGGGCTGCTGGGCACGGTGGTGGCAGGGTCAAAAGCTGTGTCCTGCTGCAAGTTACAGGTGCTCTTCCTCTCAGAAACAGCCAGTGGGTGCCCTGGAGTCACATGGGAGGGAAGACCACAGGCCAGTAGCAGTGGTGGGTTTTTGTATTTTTGGTGCTGGATTAAACCCAGAGATGCCTAAGTGCTGAGCTACATCCCCAGCCCTTTTGATTTTGAGACTGGAGTCGTCTCACTAAGTTGCTACGGCTGGTCTTGAACTTGCAATGCTCTTGCCTCAGCCTCGGGAGTCTCTGAGATTATCAGTGCTCGCCACGATGCCTAACCCAACGATGGTTTTCTAATCAATGCTTGCTTAGGGACCAAAATGGAGTCAGTCCAGGGAATTGCACAGCAAACTTGATTGGATTCAGTGTGGTCCTAAAACACCCAGAATTGTGGTTGCTACCAGTGCAGGCAACACTGACTGTAGCTCCTGGGATTGAGCGCAGATCCAAGGAGAGAATGGTCCCCACTGACCCTGCCTACTCCTGGGCAGGCGGTCGTGTCCCAGACTCCCTGGAGTGCAGGGCTGTCGCCCCACTGATGCCCTCTGCAAGACTCATCCCAGCATCCTGGAAAGAGAACGGCAGACGGGTAGGCAGCAGCCTTGTGCAGAGCACCTGGGCTGACTGTGGTGCTGTCTGCTTCTCTGTGCTGCAGCATATTCAGGAGGTCCTACTACCTGTCCCACTTCCTGCCTGCCCTGCTCACACCGCGAGTGGTGAGTACGACGTGTCCAGGCAGGTGGCCACCTCTGGAATCGAGACACTCCTCACTGGGCTCTGGTTCTTTCCCCAGCTCCCGTCAGCCCCGGATTCCCGAGAGGCTCTCATAGAAGCCCTGAAGAGGTACGTGGGAGCTTTCCCAGAAGGGCTTTGATGATGCAGAGAAGTGTGATTCTCTAATTTTAGAGAAATGTCTTCAACCTGTGTTTATTGTAAAATGTTGGCTCCAAAAGTAGTTGGTTCTGATTTTTTTTAAGCAAAATTTGCTCAATTCTCAATATCACCACTTAATATCATTCTTGAGTGAAACTTTGGGAGACTGGGTTAGTTTTGACGTTCCAGTTCATAATTGTGGTAAGAGGATTTAGGGACAGAAGGAAAGGAAGAGCCTGAAGAAGCCTCAGGTGGAAGGACTAGGGTGGCCCTCGAGATTCACCAGGATCCTGGGGTCTTGGCCTCCACGGGTGGGGGAGGGTGGGTGCCTGCAAGGCCCTTCTTCCTGAGGGAGGTAGGAAGTGCCTGCTGTTTCCAGGGCCCATGGGGGCTGGCAGGAAAAACCTCTAGCATCCTTGTTTTTATTTATTTGTGATATAAATAAAGTATTTCTGATACATAGAACTGCACCTACAGCAATTTAAAACACATTTAAAGTACCACCATGAACCTCCACCCATATTTTGCTGTCTTTGCCTTTTAAAATAGATTCTTTCCGCTAGGCCAAAGCCCTTGGGTGTTTCCACACCCTCACCAGCATTGTTTTCATTTTTCCGTAGGAGCATTTCCAGTGGGTTCGAGTTGGCATCTTGTGTGTGTGGGTTTTGTTTGTTTTTTTTTTGGTGTGGGGGGGATTGCGGTTAGAATCCAGGGGCCCTCAACCACTGAGCCACATCCCCAGCCCTATTTTGTATTTTATTTATGGTCTCGCTGATTTGCTTAGTGGCTTGCTGTTGCTGAGGTTGGCTTTGAACTCACAGTCCTCCTGCCTCAGCCTCCCGAGCTGCTGGGGTTACAGGTGTGCTCCATTGCTCCTGGCTCACACATCAGTTTTTCGTCTTCAGCTGCGACCAACACAGCCATAGCTTCCCTTGGTGGCCCATCGTACTCTGGCTCTGTTCTAGCTGCTGTGTGGCGTTCTCTCTCTGCCTGAGCACCCTCTCAGCACACACCACTCATCAGGTCTCACAGACTGAACGACCAACAGCTGTCCATGCCTGCAGGCTGGACTCTTGAAGCACAACTTCAGTGAACATCCTCAGGGTGTGTCCGGGAACACTGGGAGCTTCTAGGCAGTGACAGTGAGTTTTCCGTTCTCCAGTGTGCATCTTTTTGTGCATCTTTTGTAGATGACTACTGAGTACCTAGATTTCATTGCTACGGCAAACAGCATGTTCTCTTGAATTCTTTCTTCGGGTATGGCTGAGGTTTGGGTATCCTGGTGTCTAGCATCTATTCTGGTTGTTAGCCGCTGGCCTCTTGCCTACTGTCAAGCTATGTTAGGAAGGAGTTTTGGTTTAACCTAGAACGACAGCAGTCTGGAGCTGGCATCCCCTGCTGATCCTCACTGCAGTAGGAATGCAGCTGAGAGTCACCCTGGATCAGGGGCTTGAGGTGACGGCTCTGGGTGTGTCTCTGTGTGGAGGAGGCCCCTCTCGCTGGCCCACTCAGGACTTCCTGAGGGGTTGAGTTCTCAGGACGATCATGCTCCTCTTCTGGTCCTGTGGTAATGCCTGAGGTAGGTTTTTCCTGCTGTTGAAGTGTCCTTGCCTTCCTGGGATGTCCCTGCTGGGATGAGGTTTTGTTAGGAACTGCTGGATGTGATATGGTGATGGTCGGGGCAAGTTTCACAAAGCCTGAGCCTGATCCTCTTCGTGTACCTTGGCTGCCTAGGCAGTGACGTTTTCGTGCTTTACAAGATGGATGGTGGTTTTCTTCTGTGCCCTGAGCAATGTGTGGAACTGAGATTCCTATGGCTGCGGCTTGGGCCACGCTTGGCTGCATAGCTGTCTGGTCCTGATGACGTCTGTGGTGAATAGCTATTAGGTTAGCCAGGTTTTGGGGGGTTTTTTTTATTCCTCTTGAGTCTTTTGTAGGTTTCTAGAAAACCTGTGTCATCTAGGTTTCAAATTCATTGACCGAGCATTGTGCAGACAGTGCTGTGGGGAGCCAGCAGGGGCTGGTGCTGCCTGGACACAGGGCAGTAGGCCATGGCACAGGACATGGAGGACAATTGCGTTGCCACAGATAGGTCACCAAGCCTCCTTCCAGGGTGGGGACTACTTGTTACATCTGATGCAGAGGCCTGTAGTGCATTCTGCCAGCCCTAGGGACAGCATCGAAAGTGCTTGCTGCAGGCCCTGGGAGGGATCAGCACAGATGCCCAATGGGTCGGTCTGCGCCTGGCACCTGCAAAGAGACTGGCAAGAAATGAGCATGAGGGCCTAGCTGGGCTCCAGATTAAAGCCCAGAGCGGCAGAGCAGAGTTCCGGGAGGCAGCCTGGAGATGGGTCACACAGGCTGTCCGCGAGTTCTGCCTGGGTGTGACAGTGTCACTTGGGTCTTCCAGGTCTTCTTAGTAGTGATGGCTATTCATAATCACGCTTGGTGTGTTGTGGAGGAAGTACCATGCAAAGCCGATGTATGTTTTTTTCTTAAACCATTATGGAACCTGGTGCAGTGGCACACACCTGTGATCCCAGCGACTTGGGAGGCTGAGGCAGGGGAATCATAAGTTCAAGGCCAGGCTCAGCAACTTAGCAAGACCTTAAGCAACTCAGTGAGATCCTGTCTCAAAATAAAAAGGGCTGGGATGTGGCTCAGTGGTTAGGTGCCTCTGGGTTCCATCCCTGGTAACAAACAAAAACCAGGATAGTACTATACACAGTGAGGTATCATTTATTTAAATTTAATGTTTTTTACTTTGCAAAACAGTTTAGGAGTCAGAAACTAGGGAATTAAATTGTCATGATTGACTTGAATATTGTTGTCTTCTGATCCAGAGCAGATAAAATCCCCCAGTCTCTGTATGCTGCCTACTGCCAAGCCTGCTCCACTGCTGAGAAGCCTCCAGAAGGTAGTCTTGCCCTTGCTGGGGCTGATGCTTCCCATTTCCCTGGCTCAGAGTCCCTGCCCCCAAGGCTGCATCAGTGACCGCCAGGGCTGTTCATAGTGACACTGAATGAGATGGGGGTTCCATAGGTTGCCTTAACCTGGCTCTTATAAGGGGTGCCTGTGCTGACTCCTGCAGGCACAGCAGGTGCCATGATGTGTGGCTACTCTGGTGCCTTAGATGGCCCCGTGAAGCACATAGGGAACGGCTGGTGGTGGAGGCCCCACTTGCTCTGTGAGCACGGAGCGCGAGGCGGAGCTCCACAGCCCTGCAGGTCGCTGTCGCACACGTCTGCACGTGCACACCCGGGTCCTTTCTGCCAGCTCTTGCAGCAGCAGGGAAGGGCCCTGTCCAGAGCAAACTGGTGCTTTGCCCTGTCATTTTGTCACAGGGACCAGCACCTCATCATTGAAGCAGAGAGTTTGTGGGTTTTGGTTTTGGGTTCTCTTCCTGGTGCTGAGGTTAATCCTAGCAATACACTGCCACTGAGCTGCACCATCCCTTTTTATTTTCTGCTTTGAGACAGGTTCTCACTAAGCTGCCTCCAACTTGTGATCCTCCTGTTTCAGCCTCTAAATCACTAGCACTGCAGGCGTACTGTGTCCATCTTTGTGTTTGTTCCTTTTTTATGTCCCTTGACATCTGTAGGGCCATGCAGGCTGAACAAGCCTGTTCTGTTTGACAGAGTCCTCTCTCCAGTTCTATTTCCAGCCCTCCTTCCATAGGCCTAGACAGTTCCCCACGGTTGTGGAGGCCCAGGAGACTCCAATGGGCAGAGTCTGAAGCTCTGGCAGGGACCAGTGCTGTGTTGGGGACAGCTGGGAGGTCTGACGCCTTCGCCACATGGTGAGGGCTTCTCTCCAGAGAGTTGCCCTCCTTCACACCTTCCTGCTTTAGGGGACCAAGCCCTAACCCTCATGCTTCTAGGCAAGTGCTCTACCACCGAGCTGTACTTCCCAGAAATTTTTTTGATACCCAGGATTGAACCCAGGGAGTGCTTCACCACTGGGTCACATCCCCAAACCTTTTCGTTTTATTTTGAGTCAGGGTCTTGGTAAGTTGCTGAGGCTGGCTTTAAACCTGCTACCCTCCTGCCTCAGCCTCCGGGATTACATGTGTGTGCCACTGTGCCCGGCCGACCCAGACCTTTTTAAGTTTTGTTTTGAGACTCAGATTCATGACCCATGCTGAGTCGCTGGGTCACAGGCCTGCGACCCTGCCCTCAGCTCCTGGGTCCCCAGGTGCTTTCATGGTGTGTGGTGGAGTTCTCGAGCAGAGCCGTGGCTGCCAGTTCCTGCTGGGCGAGACCCACAGGCGCAGCGTGCACTGGTGAGTGTGTGCCTCTGCAGCCAAGCCACATGTGAGCTTGCTTTGCTCTAAGGCACGCCTCTCCTTTTCTAGCGAAAACGATGTGAGAGTTTAAACCAGGATCTTTTGCCAACGTGTCTCCTGAGTAGATGTAGCCGAGGCTGAGCTGGTGACAGTCGCCAGCTCTGTCCCAGGCCTGCTCTGGGGATGTGGATGTGTGGCTGCCTCCCTCAGTCGTCCAGCGGGGACGCCCACCTGCCCCTGACCCCCGTCTGTGCAGCTGTTTCCATCACATCTGTGCTTTTCACACTCACGGCTGTGGTCTGCAAAACTGCTTTTCTTCACTTTGTTTATAAGCATTTTGATGTGACACGCTGTACACAGTGTCAGAGACAGGATCCATTGTCTGTCCTTGACACCTAGGCCTGGCATCTGCAGGAACCTGAGTTTCCCCTCTGCCTCCCCTCCCTCAGGTGCAGCCTTGGGAATGAGGGCAGAACCCACCCATGCCGAGGAGCCCCTGGGACCACTCAGGGTGGCGCTGAGAGAACTCAGAGCCTTGATGGCAGACCCCACCCAGGCTGACGGTGAGGACGGGGTGTCTGATAGAGTGTGTGTGTGGGCTTGGAGCCATGGCAGTGGAGGCTGTGCCTTTCCTCTGGTCTCACTGCAGCTGCCTAGACCCTGGGCAAAGATGAACTCTGTGCTATTTGGCAGCCAGTGGGATAGGCAATGGAGGAAGAAAGCTGAGCAGAGCTCGTAGGAGGCTGTTTCTCCATTATCCTGGCTGTCTGCGTTAATGTGAAGTACACTGGGCCTCTACTCTGTCTCTGAAACACTGAGTGGGGGTGAAGGCTTCATGCATGGAGTGAGAGCATGCATAGCCCCTTAGCACTTGGTGCAACCCAGCAGTCTGTGGCAGTGAAAACTGACTGCAGGACGTTCAGATTCTTACTAGGATGCAGAATCTGAAATAAGTAAGCCACGTTTCCTGAGCGTATTGCCGCTTACTGTTGCTATAACAAAATACCCAACGCTGGGTAATCTTTAAAGAAATAAGATATATTTTTAGTTCACAGTTCTGGAGGCTGGCAGTCCAAGGCTTGACTGTATGTGCAGAAGGGCACAGGCAAGCAGGAGGCCAGAGAGACCAGGACGATCAGGCCTGTGCTTTTGTGACAGTCTCTCAGCCTCCTGGGAGGCCCAGTAGTGTCCTGGAGAGCCACAGCAGGCCTTGTGAGGTGATGCCCCGGGTACCCCACCACCACCCACCAGTGCCACCACCCAGGGAACAAACCACGCCCACCGTCACAGAGTGACCAGTTTCAGTGGTCACACAGACAGCCCCTCAGCACTGCAGCTCTGGGGTGCAGCCCCTCCCTGAGGCCGCCTGCGCAGGCTGGAGACACAGCCTTTCAGAGCCGTGCTCACATGGTCCTGGGGTGCTCTTGTGGTGTTTTTTGAGGCTGGGCTTGCTAGACTCAAACACCTGGGCTCTAGTGATGCCCCTGCCTCAGTCTCCCCAGTGGTCGCACCACAGGCCTGTGCTGCCATGGCCTGGCCAGGACCTGGCCCTTGGAGGGCACTGTGAAGAGTTCTGCTCTTAAGCCAGAACCTGAAAAGGTCAGCTCAGCTGCTTTCTGAGCCACAGGTTTGCATGCTTGAGTGGGGTGGTCGGCCTTCGTCTTGCCCCGGGTGTCCAGTGCCTTGTGGGAGGGTGGGGCTGGGGTTTCAGAAGCCAAAGGCTGATCCAGGAAGGAGGAGCAATGGAAGCAGGCCCAGCATGTCCACACCACATGTGCTCAGTGTCACGAGGCATAGGTCCCCGTGTGTCCGTCGTCTGATTACTGCCTCCCGCAATGAGAATGAGCTCTGCCACTGCCTGGCTGGGGTGTGGGAGCCACCAGGCCCTCCACGAGGGGTAGGCCAGCTGGTGGCCGAGGCTTTTTAGCTTTCTGCGAGGCCATGTCAGCCCCTGAGCACTGGTCTACCCCGTTTCCTGTCTTCCCTGACGGGTTTCTCTACCTGCAGTTATATCTGCTCAGATGGCCGTGGTTTCTGAACGACTGAGCGCAGCCTTGGGGCGTGGTGAGGATGACAGCCTCCGGGGCAGGGGGAGGATTCAGCTCAACGTCCTTGCTCCAGAACTTCAGCAGCAGGAGCAGCTGGTGGGTGCAGGCTGTGGCACCAGCCGCCTCGTAGGTTATGTCAGGAGCTGGGTCAGGCTTCAAAGACCTGGGCCCTCCCTGCCCAGGCCAGCCAGCCCGTTTGTGAGAGTCCCGGCTGCAGACACCTTCTGCAGCCCCAGGCCTGAGTCTCTGCTCACCCTTTTGGGCTGCTCAGCATTGATTTCCAGGTCCTGGAAGAGTCCTGGAATCGGCAGGGGTGGGGGTCCCGGGACCAGCTGCACTGCTGTCTCCCTAGTGCTTGTGCAGGCTGTTTCCCGTGGCCAGTGGTGGGAGCTACAGCCGTTGGTGGCCATGTCCCTCCCAGGTGGTGGACCTCCTGCTCTCAGCTTTCTGTCAGAGCCTGATGGTGGCCTCCAGCTCTGCCCCTCCAGAGAGGTAAGGGCTCAGGAGTTTGGGTGATCCTGGGCTGTCCTGGGCCAGGCAGGAGTGAGCTCAACTTCCAGGAGCAGGTGTCCAGGCCGACTTCCAAAAAGTGGGGATCTGTAGAAGTCTTGTTGTCCTTGGCCCTTGTGTGGAGGAATGACCTGGCCCTTTGTGGGCCTCTGCACCTGGATCAGCTGCGGGAGTGGTGTGTGGGGCTGTGAGGGGCCAGGGCCTCACCTCTGTTGTCTACAGGCAGGGCCCCTGGGCAGCCGCCTTTGTGAGGACCCTGTGTGGACCTACGCTGCTCCCTGCAGTCCTCACCCGCCTCTGCCAGCTGCTCCACCACCAGGTAGGCTCGCCCTTCATGCAGGCCACACGGGGGGCTGCTCCAAGGGCTGGGCAGCCAGGCTAGTCCTCCAAGCACAGGAGCCTTCTGGCTGGGGGGCTGTCACCAGCTCTGCCACTTATCCCTCTTTTCAGGGCCCACGCTTGAGTGCCTCACATGTGCTGGGCTTGGCTGCCCTGGTTGTCCACCTGGGTGAGCCTGGGTCTGCACTCCCGGAGGTGGAGCCAGGCCCTCTTGCCCCTGCCAGCAGCCTTCCTGTCCCCAGGTTCCTCGATAGCCTCCTGACGTGCCACACCAAGGAGTCCTCGCTCTTCTGCCTGAGGTAGGCCGCCTCTCCTCTCAGTCATTGCTCTCCTCTCCTGGGAAAAGAAATAAGCATTCATCAGATAATACCCTGGAGGACTGGGTGGGCTGGGGTGCGGCTCAGGGAGAGCACTGGCCCAGCACGTGCAAGGCCTGGGGCCTTGTCAGTAGTCCCCAGAAAAGACAGACATGTAGAGGGAGAGGTTTCCACCTGGTGGACGTCTCTGATACACCTTGGTTACTGCGCAGTTCCTGGGGCGGGTGTCGCTGCTGTTTTCTGGTGTGGATGCTCCTGGGTGCGTTAGGAGTGGTGGGGGCACCCACGCACGCCTGCAGCCTGGCCCCACGCCATCTTTGCTGCGTCTCCTTTCTTGCTCCCCACCTTCCTGGTGCTCTGGTCTCCGGGTGGGGGGTGGTGGGAAGGCTCTGTTCCCGTTCATCGTTGCCTCTGCACATCATCACAGCTGGTCTCATGTGCCTGGCTCCACGGAAGCTGAAGCCATGCTCAGGGATGTCCCCTGTGTGCGAAGAAGCGTGCTCATCTCTCAGGACACGCCCTGAGCGCACCTTTCACTGGCTCTGAGGACTCCTCCTCTTCTGTTCATGGGGATGACACACCCTCAAGTCCAGGGTGTCCACCTCCCTCCTGGCCATGTCCCTTACAGAACACCCAGTCTCCTGGTTGGTCTGAGGCGGGTGGTACCAGTTCAGCCCTTGCACACCTGAAGTGCACCTGTGCCGTTTTCACATGGTGTGCATCTCTGCCTCATGTGGACAGGGACTTGTGGGGATGACTGCTCAGGCCCCCAGGCCAGAAGGTGCTGAGGTCAGTGTAGCGAGCCCTCCGTGGTTGTTGCTGCTCTGTTCACAGGTTCTGCACCGCAGCGCTCTCTTACGCTCTGTGCAGGGTCTCTCCCCAGCCCTGCGACTCTTGGCACAGCTGTTTGTCTCCAGGTTTTGTCAAAAAGGTAGGTCTACAGGTTCCTGGTCTTCTGTACTGCAGAGGCCAGGTCTGCCACTGTCGCAGGTTTCGGTGGGCATCGGGCCTTGGTTGGGGACTGCCGTGGCCATCTGGGGTGTCTCCCTACTGAATCTGGGTGTGAAGTAGCAGCTACACCTGTCTGCTCCTCTTTTAAAGAAACAGACACTGGCATTCACAGAGTGTGTTCACGAGACGCTTCTTTCCATCTAAAGGAAAATCCTAATGCCTTCATCTAGTGGATCCTGCTGCGTTTGTCACAAGGGCAGACTCCTTGGGCGTTCCATCCCTGGATGTCCACAGTGGGGGCAGCGGGTACCACAGCCCAAACCCCTCCCACGAGGCCAGGGCAGACCTTTGGAAGGTGGTGTGGCTCCAGCCCTCTATGTGCGGGCCTGCAGCACCAGACGCAGTCCGATGCACTCACAGACGCAAGCTCGGGGCAGCAAATGCCAAGCATGGGGGACACTTTGCCCCCAAGGTCACCTGAGGGGCACGACTGGGGGAACAGTGTTCTGGCCTGACCATGTGTCTCTTTCAGTTCCAGTTTCTTGTGTTCAGATTCTTCTCAGAGGCCCGGGTGCCTCTCCCTCAGGAGGATGCAGCTGGCCTTCCCTGGGGACCCCTGTGCCTTYCCCCTGCAGACTGGAAGATGGCCACCCTTGCCCTGTGGAGACAGGGCCACTTCCAGGAGCTGCTCACTGGGGAGTTTCGTGTAGGTTGTCCCTCCCCACCTGGCTGTGTGAGCGCCGAGCTGAGAGGCACGAAGCCCTGGGTATTCAGGCCTACTCTGCACCGAGGCCACGAGAGCGCCATGTGCAGCTGTGAGAAACACTGTGGAAACACCTGATGTGCTTCCCAGGCTCCCCCAGCCGTCCCTGGGTTGAATCCAGGGGTGCTCTACCACTAAACTCATATATTTTGAGATAGGGCCTCATTAAATTACTGAGGCCGGTCTCTCAACTGTGATCCTCCTGTCTCAGCCTCCCATGTTGCTGGGATCACAGGTGTGAGCCTCTGTGCCTGGCCCAATAGTAACTTTTTACAGAGGATTTTAAGGGTGAATTAAAAAACCATCGCAGCCGAGTGCGGTGGCGTGCCTGTATTCTTAGAGGCTTGGGAGACTGAAAAGTGAGGCGCTAAGCAACTCAGTGAGACCCTGTCTCGAAATAAAGTACAAAATAGGGGCTGGGGATGTGGCTCAGTGGTTAAGCAGTCAATCCCCAGTACCCCCCCGCCCGCCCCCACCAAAAAAAAAAAAAAAAACCACGTTGCTGCTCCTCCATCCCCCCCCGTGTCTGGACAGTTGTTGAAAGGTGGGCTGCACGACTTTCCCAGCTTGTCTACATCCCAGTGTGGGAGGCAGTGGGGCCTGCTCCCAGCTTGCCCCTGGATGCCTGGCCTTTGCCCTCACCCTCAAAGGGTCTGCTGAGGGTCCCCACAGTGTGAGGCTTTGAGAGCAGCCCACCTGCCCACATCTGTTTGTAAAACTGCTCTGGGAACCTTCAGACAGGAAGTGGGCCTCGAGGAATACCTGAGCAGTGGTCATTCACACAGGCCTCCCCCCAGCTCAGGGAGCCAGGAACTCATCTGTCTTGGCTCTGCCTGATCACCTGGGGTGTGTGGGTGTGTGTGTGCGGGGGTGCAGCACATGGGCCAGCGGCTCAGGGCTGGGCAGTGAGCAGGGATAGCGTCAGAGCTGCATGGCACCTGTCCTCACTTCTCGGGCTTGGAGCAGATGCACTTGGTAGAAGAGGCGAGTGTGGAACCTGTGACCTGAGAGGCCTGGGTCTCTTGGGGATGGAGTGTGCACAGGTGTTTCCTTGACCGAATGGGGGCCCTTTCTGTGAGGCTCTTCAACTGCAGTTGGCTTTAGACAGGCCTTTGTTTTGGGGATAAAGCAACAAGTGTGTGGAGTTTGCCCTGCACTGACCACCCTTGTCTCTCAGCTAACCTTTGGGGACTGGCTGCAACTAGAACTGGAAATCCAACCTGGAGCTGATGCCCTGTCAGACACAGAGAGGTGAGTGTCTATGGGAGCTCCTCAAAAATGGCCTCAGTTTTCTACCAAAGTTTGTCTTTTCACCTTCAGTGCAACATTCATGTTAACTGTGTAGCCTCTGCACCAATTCTAATTATTTCATTCAAGAAGCATTTATTGAGCTTCTGTTCTGTGGCAGACTTTCCTAGAATGTCCTAGAAGCTGGGCCTGCAGTGTGTCAGATGAGCCTGCCAAGATGGCACCTGTGTACAGACAGGGCACATGAGGTGCACAGAGGGCTCTGTATACCTGACCGGGCTGTGCCCTAGTGACTGGAAGTAGGGATGAGCACTGCCAAGGCAGGGCCGGGGTAAGGGTGGCTCTGGGCATGTGCCATCTTGAGATGGGAGTACCACGAGCTGGGCAGATCCAGGGCTGAAGACTGTCACGCCAGGCCTGCTGTTCTGGGCACACAAATGGCTTGTTGAAGGACTTGGGTTTGAGGGTATGGAGGAAACTGTCGTCACCACAAAGGCTGGGTGTAAAGTACCACTGGTAAATGCCACTGCTGCCAGGCCCGTGACTAGTTGGCTCTGAGAGTCTTCCCTCCCCTGCTCACACTATCCTCCGCTGCAGTGGACATCTGGGTGCATGGGAAACGGACATGGCAGACCACACTTTCTTGGTGTGAGGGTTCCTAAGAACCTCATCTTAACCCTTAGGTCTCTGTTACCTGGAGGTTATGTTCAGACGTGTTCCTGGATGTCCTGTTCTATGTGTGGCCCTGGGGTTGAGCCAGGGGTGCTCTACCACTGAGCTGGACCCAGCTCTGCTTAGTTTTTATCTGAGACCCGGTCTTCCTGGCCTGGAACTTGCATCTTCCTGCCTCAGCTTCCTGGGTAGTTGGGTTTTCAGGTGTGCACCACCCACCTGGCTCCTTTCTTAATCACACGAGTGATGCGTAGACGGCTCTGTGCGGGCGACAGACAGCACAGCCCTGGCCTACTTGCAGGCTTGCAGCTGTGTGGTTGTGGGATGGGTCTCCACCCCCTGGAGGCCCTGCTGGCTCCCACAGTGCCACGGCACTTTTTGTCAACTGCCCTGCAGTCTGAACACAGACCTCACAACTGTGTGTGCAAGAAGAGTGGGCAAGTTCAGACATCCTTGGTGACTCAGCCTGCACGTCTTTTGGGGGTGTGTAGCCATTGGTCAGGCTGCAGGGACCACACCCCGTCTGGACTTTGGTCAATGGCAGCAGTTTGCAAGGGTGGATCTGCCCCTGAGATTATGCCTTTCCTGCAGCCTCAGGTCCTAGCCTGGCAGGTAGTCAGGCCTCCATGAGGCCATGCTGAAGTGTGTGCCTGAGACTGTTAGTCCCAGCCCCTCCAGTGTTCCCAGCAATCACTCAGATTTCCCAGGTACAGGTTAGGAAGAAACACTGGCCATGACTTGCTTCCTCCTCCTCCTCAGAACTGACATCAGCATTCACTTGCAGACAGGACTTCCACCAGTGGGCAATCTATGAGCACTACCTCCCTGCGCCCTCTGCTTCAGGAGGCTGTGATGGAGACCTGCAGGTGGCGTGCACAGTTCTGGTCAACGTGCTGATGGACTTCTATCAAAGGTCAGCCACACAACACCAAATGCATCTGACTTTTAGGCAGTTCTGAGAATGCACTTTCCCCCCTCAGTCCATCACGTTACACAAAACGCATTTGGGCAGAAGGTGGTACTTAGAGGGAGGCATCCTGGGTCAGCTTTTTCTCCAAGGGCACAGCTTGTGGCAGGAGGAACAGCTATTTCACACCTGTTGTGCAGGGTCGGCAATGTGAAGATGGTACCGGTGGCCTGGCGAAAATCCCCCCTCCCGTAGCAGGGCTGGCGTGCAGTTCTTGAAGCAGTGAGTGTGGACTGGCCAGGTGTCTCCTGGGGTAGACGGTTCTAGCCCCTTTGTCCTCAGGAATGCAGCCTGTGACTCTCCAGGTTCCACCCATCCCTGTCTCGCCCAGCAGGGCTGTGTAGAGGCCCTGAGGCAGACAGTTTCCTTCCCAGGTTGTAGGCAGTGAGTCTTAGGATGTTAGTTGTGAAGATGGAGTCCAGACAGTTTCTTCCACTGTCCCTCCTACTCCCTGGGGCCCATGAAGGTGCTGTCCAGTTGGCACAGCCGTCGTGTGCCATCTGCCGCTGCATGGAAACGTGCTTTAGTGTGGCAGCAGTATAGAGCCTGGGGTGGTGCAGCCCATGCTGTGGAAGCAAGTCAGTCCTGTCCCCTCACACACAGGGACAGCTGTGTGTGTGAAGCTCAGTGAGGGAGTATCTGCTAGTGACCTCCGAGCCCTGGCAGCCAGCCTCCTGCTGTGGAACTGCTTTCTGAACGTCCCAGAAATGGAGCGGCATGTGTGCCCTTGTGTCCTGGGTGTCATTGGCTTCCCTGAGCAGTGCCCCCAGACACATGAGTTTTGATGACAGGGTATGCCAGGGAGGGTGTACCTGTACGGGTTTGTGCATGCGTGCAGGGTGGATGCCAGGCTGTGCTTGCATTCTGGCCCTCAGGAATGATGCTGCTGTGAGCATTCCGCGGGGTTTCTGGGTAGGCGTGTATGGAGTGGAGCTGTGGGTGCAGGGGCCCTACTTCCCACGTGCCACCTGCCTGCCCGCTCCTCTGGGCGTGAGATGCTGTTTCTCATGGTCTCAACTTGGAGCACCTTTGCATGTGCCTTTGGGGAAGCATCTGATCACATCCCTCACCTGCTCCCAGGTGCTAGTGAATCAAACCCCATGTCCTGTGTCCCCTAGGCAAGCAGTCTGCTGCTGAGCTACACCCCTGCCCCTTTTGCCCACTTTTAAATTGGGTCATCGTACAGAGTCTTCACATACCCTAGATATGACCTCTTAGCAACTTGTAAATGTCGTCCTCATTCACTATTAGTTGTCCTTTGATGCACTGAAGTTTTATAAATTTTGATGGAATCCAGTTCAAATTATTTTTAGTTTTAGTACCTGTATTAAGGGGGTTTTTATTGTCACATATTTCCAGCTGTCCCGGCACTTCTCACCCCATTGGAGGGGTTTGTTGCCAGACTCCCAGCTCCACCTGCTAGTTGATGTATCTGTCTGTCCTCCAGCTCTACACACTGATGGCTGTAGCTTTCCAGTAGGTGTTGACGTGGGGAAATGTGAGTCCTCCAGCTTCGTTGCTCTTCAGGATTGCTTTGGCTGTTGTGCAATCTTTGCAATTCTATCTGAATTTTATGAACAACTCCTCGATTTCTCCATGGCCATCTGGCATCCTGATGGGTAGTGCATTCAGTTGTAGACCAGCTTGGGCAAGTATTGTCATCTTAACAACACCGAGGCTTCCATGACCATTTACGTAGGTCTGTTTTGTCCTGCAGGATAATAGGGACTGAACCCAGAGCTCTACCACTGACCTACACCCTAGCACTTTTATTTTTTTGCCCAGGCTGGCACAGGAATCATAGGCGTGTACCACTAAGCTCAGCTTATTTAGTCTTCTTTAATTCCTTTCAACAGTATTTTATGGTTTCCAGGGTGCAAACCTTATACTTTCTGGGTTGTTTGTACCTATGTATTTTATTGTTTTGGTGCTCACAGAAAGGTTCCTTAGTGTTGTTTTTGGATTAATCGTGGTGTGTGGAAATACAGCTTCTGGTGGTATATTGACGTGCTGAACTCAACTTTATCAGCTCTGATACTTTTGTGTGGGTCCCTAGGATTTAGTGCAGGCCATGTCGTCTGTGAGCAGAGTTCACATTACTCCTCTAGATTGGATGCCTTTATTCTTTCTCTTATTGAATGGCTCTAGCTAGAGCTTGTAGTAAAGTGGTGAGAGGCTTCTATCTTTACAACTAAATACGGTGTTTTCCAAGCTGCCCTGCATCATGTTGAGAAAGTGTCGAGCTGGAGGACAGACAGATATATCAACAGCAGCTGGAGTCCAGAAACAAACCCTCACAGGAAGGGTACCAGGACCCTTCTGTTCATAGTTTATCCAAGGGCTTTATCATGATCAGTTGTGAAATCCATTGAATGCTCCTTCCGTATCAATTATAAATGATTTTATAACTGGAATTTGATGTAAACCCAGCGTTGCATTCCAGGGATAAGTCCTGCTTTTCCCTGATATGTACTACTTGTTATACTTGCTGGATTTGGGCTACAAGAAATGCTAGTTTTGCTGCTTGTTGATCAAGCATTGTGATGCGAGCACTGGATAGAGGTGGGCACTGCACTGCTGGAAATGCTGAGCAGACTTCTGTGCCGCTTGACTTTCAGTTCGAGGAGTTGGAATCACTTGGAGAGCTCTGGCTGGGTCCCTGGTGGCCACACAGGAAGTGGGGATCTTCTTTCCAGGCTGCAGGTGAGCTGGAGGGAGCCAAAGCTCCCGGTGTCCAGGGCCTTGAGCTGTCTCCTGCTTGAGCATTCCTAGTGTCTGTGCTTTCCCTGTCTCACCCACTATTGCATCCTCTCACCTGATGAGGCCTGGGGCGAAGCTTGGTTAGTGCATAGGAGCCCCGACTCCCTGTCCACTCCATGCAGCCTGGCCTAGGGAAATGGCAAACAATCTCAGTGCATATTAGCAAGGCAGACCTGCCTGCCAGTGATCGTGCCACCAGAGTGCTGGGAGCCTTTCCTCTGTGGCCCCCATGCTGGGCTAGATCCTGAGGACATAGGATGAGACATGGCAAGGGGGGGAAGAAGCAGAGGAGATGGCCACAACTTGGGTTTTGTGCAATCAGTGATGATGTAGCTCCCAGCCCAAACTGTGGAAGTCAGGTCTGCTCTTGGGAGCAAAGTACCGGCCATTGCGTATTTTAATGGAATAGGGCCCAAGATCTGAATGCATTTCCAGAGTGGGATTCTCGGTTGAATGAATTGAGCATCCTTTGGCATTTAAAAAGTTACACTCAACATTCATTTCATGACGGCATCAGTGTCATGAAAGTCTGTGGAAATGTTCCAAAATAAAGGGGGTTGGCAGCAGAAAGCCACCAACCCTGCCTGGACCCCGTGATGGGGCAGGTAAGTGTGGCCATAACCATGACGCCGGTGGAGCATGGGCCAGCGGAGCCTGTGAGCTAACTCGCCCTCTGCCTGTCCCCACGCACACACGCATGTGTGGAGAGGCTGCCTGGGGTGCAGGCTCTCCTTCCCGGTGGTTCTTGCAGTCATGATGATTTCCAGGTGGATGAGCTGCCACGTTTGTTCTTTCTGTCTGCGGCCTCCGTGTACCACTCTCCTCATGCTTGGAGTGAGGTCAAGTGCCCGAGCCTCTGACCTTGCTGTTTTCCAGGAGATGGTTCTTGACCTGGAGCTGGAGCAAGGTGCAGCTACTCAGGGACACTTTGTCTTCTCGGTGTTGCGCAGCCGGCTGCAGCCTCTGGCAGGTGGGGCAGGTGTGGCCACCAGCCTCCAGAGACAGCAGGAGCTGCTTGCGTGCAGACGGTAAGGCCTGGCTGGGCAGGGTCATGTAGGGGTACCAAGCGTCTTCTCTCCGTTGGTCGCCTGTCTCTGGCCTCCCCAAGCCTGGGATGGGCCATCCTTAGTGGTTTCTGGGGAGGGCAGGTCTGGCGTAKAAGTGCTGGGGATATAGGCCTTCTCCTCAGGTGCACTGCGTGCTCAGGGTGTGCCTCTCTGTGCCTGAGTGGTTTGTTGATTCTCGTCGTGGGGATTGTGGTGCGGTCTCCTGCTTGATGGTTGTACAGCTCTTCACCAATTTCTTTTTTGCTAGCATGTTTTGCAGGACTGCAGCAGCCTGAGCTTGGTGCAGGAGTTGAGGGCACAGGCATGTTGGGTGGGGTGGCAGACCAGACCACTGGTTTGGTGGCATCACAGGCTGCAGGGTGCTCCTTATGAGCTAGGCTCCTCCTGAGCCTGCCGCCTGTGCTTGCCTTCACTGTTGACATTGCTCCTTGTCTCCAAGGCTCCTCCTTCGCCTGCCCCCATCCATCCTGGTCGGCGGCCTGCAGGCCCGACAGCCCATCGACCCCCTCTGCGAGGATTTCTTCCACTTGGTCAACTCTGAGCTGGTAGGTGCTGTGTGAGCATAGGCTGGCAGGGGTGGGAGGAGGGCACAGATCACTGGCTGCTGGGAAAGGAACAAAAGTCATAGGTGCGTGGTGCCTAGATAGCCAAGAACTCCTGGGAGGACTGTGGCGGCTCTCTCCATAGCCTGTTACCTCTGCAGACGCTCCCTCAGGTGTGCACGACAGGGCCCGTGGGAGTCTGCCCGCCAGGCACCTGCCTCTTTCTGTGATAGACATCCACCAGTGTGGGCTGCACCGGATCTTAACAATAACTCGGAGGTGGTTCTCACCCTGCGTCCATTGTCTGGGACTGTGTATCACCAGCTCACTCCACCCTGGAGAGCAGCCGGCATTTGTGCCTAAAGACCAATGCACAAACGTGACTGGAGATTGAGCTTAGGTTCCCTTCCAGTTGTGCAGAACGGCAGGCGACTAGGAAAGCAGACCGGTGGCAGCTTTAGAGACTGTGGCATAGCTGTCATCCCAGTGATGTGGAGGTAGAGGCAGGAGGGTCACATGCTGTGGGCCAGCTGGAGCAATTCAGCAAGACCCTGACTCAGAATGAAATAAAAAGGGCTAGAGGTGTCGCTCAATGGTAGGGCACTTGCCTAGCATGTGCCAGACCCTATGTTCTATCCCCAGCAGCCCATGGAAGTGGACAAGAGCACAGAGACTAGTGTGTGGTCAGCAGAGAAGTGGAATGATAGCGTTGTCACTCTCGGCTAGAGTCAGAGCCACAGCTCCCAGTTCCACCTGGAGCCCATGTGTCTGGGCCAGAGCAGGCGGGCAGTCTTGAGGGCCTTAGCTGGGGAGGTTCTGGCAGCACACTAGGGCAGCCTTCTGTGGCTGATGGCCAGCTGTCCCTAGTGTGGCTTCATAGCTAAACCCCGTAGCACACTGCACTCTGGTCTTGCCCCTCTCTCTGCCACTGGCCTGCTGAACTGTTTTACAGAGAAACTTCTCCCAGGGAGGCGCCTTGACCCACGACATCACCATCCATTTCTTCAGGGTAACTCGTCTCCCCTAGCACCTCCCATGGGACCTTCTCAGGGTCCCTGGGCACAGATCTCCTGTGGGGTGGTGACCTTTAGGAACTGGGCTCACAAGGGTGCCTGGGTGAGCCTCTGCTGTGTTCTCTGCTGCAGGGGCTCCTGAATGCCTGTGCACACAGCCACGACCCCTTGCTGACAGCCAACCTGACTCTGACTGGGTGCCAGACCAAATGCCCCATCCTTCTGACCTCTGCGCTGGTAGGACTGGCTGCTTGGGGTGTGGGGCTCTGCCCATCAGGGCTCCTCACTGCTGCTCCTTTGCCTTCTGTGTCTCGCCATCTTGGTCACTGTGGCTCAGTTGCAGCTTTCTGTGTGCTCTGTGGGCTGCACAGGCCGCCCCTGTTGCCTGCTGGCGGCTTCCTTCTCTGTGAGGCACCAGCTCTTGCAGGGTGTCATGGGGCAGAGGCAGGGCCTTCTCTGTCCTGCCCTCGAGGACAGGTGCCTCGTGGGATTGCTGTGAACACAGCAAGGTAAATAAGGTGCTGCCTGAAGTTGTACAGCGTGAGCCACAGGGTGAGCACAGGGAGCACCTGGGAAGCCCCAGCCAAGCAGCGGCGAGGGCTCTGGGGAGCTGGCTGTGGGACAGCGCCTCACAGGTGTTCTGGTCCTGGAGGTGGGGCCAAGCAGAGCTGCCCTGACCTGTTTTCTCCTGCTCTCTTCCCATGCAGGCCTGGTGGTCAAGCCTAGAGCCTGTACTGCAAAGTCGGTGGAGAAAACGCTTCCAGTGCCCACTGCCCCTTGAGCTGCAGAGGCTGCAGGAAGCCCAGCAGTTTGCCAGCAAGTAGGCATTGGCAGCAGGATGAGGCCGGGTTGTGACCATGGACATCCTGGGTTGTAGTTGCTAGGGTCCCTTGGAAAGGGGTGGCGAGAACCAGGCTAACAGCCTCCAGTTGGAGCAGCCAGGCAGGTCAGGAGTGTTCATGGGACAGGTTTCAGCAGGTCTCATTCCAACTCAGCTTTTCCCATCTTGGCCCCATCTCCTGCTCACATCTAACACTGGCCCCAGACTGCCAGCATCAGGTGTATTAGGGTGCTGATGCTCAGTTCTCCCCCCGGCAGCTCAGTCAGACCTGTGGCAGTCAGGGCAGTCCCCCTCCTGAGGAAGTTCTTGAGGCCCTCCAACGACACACTGGTCGCAGTAACCAAAGGGTAGAAGGCCTTCACGGTCCTTGGTGACTAGTTTTGATTTCCTGATGTACCTGAAACCTCAGCACATAGAAAGCAGGGCTCATTGCCAGGTGCGGTGGCACAGCCTGTAATCCCAGTAACGCAGGAGGAGAATCCCAAGTTCAAGTCCAGCCTCAGCAACTTAGTGTGACTTTGTCTAAAAAGAACTAAAAAAGGGCTGTCGACATAGCTCAGTGGTAAAGGTCCCCTGGATAAAGGAGACTCTCCTACTCACCCTAACTCCACCAGAGACAGAGCTGGATCCCTTTGGCCAGACCCAGTACTCCTTGGAGGACAGAGGGCATTGAGTGCCCAGTGTTCTTATAGACTCTTCCTTCAAGGCTCAGGCATTAGGTTTGCTGCATGGGCTCTGTCCCCTTGGTATGCTTCCACGTGGGGCTGGCATCCTGCTCTGCCAGGGCCTCATGCAAAACCCAGGTTTTGCATGTGAGGACCTGAGCTCCTCTATCCTCCTTGGAAAGCTGTTTCTGTGCTGCAGCGATGACGCATCTCTCTGTCCCAGCTTTCTGGCCCCTGGCTCGACTTCCCCTGCACCCAACCCTGCCTGGGTCTCAGCTGCTGCATTGCACTTTGCAGTGAAAAAAGTCAAGACCGAAGGTGCCAGATGGCCGAAGCTGGACTGCGAGAGAGAGGAGGCAAGGCGGGGCTGATTTTTTTTCTAGCAGGCTCATTTTTCATCAGGGCATTTCTCAGGGTTTGCCAGTGGATGTGGCTTTTCCAGGGAAAATCTTGAGGTTTCCATCCCTTTATTTTGAAATGAAACTCGCCAACGTGCAGTATTAATGACTCAAGTGCTTCTGTTGGGCTCGATTCTTTCCTTGCCACAGCCCTGCAGGCTGTCTGTTGTGAGTGCACAGCACGAGGCAGCATGACTGGACCATGCTGGTGGCTCCACCTTCTGTACAGGGATTTTCAGACTCAGGCCTTGTGCCCCTGGGTTGCTGGGCCCTCGAGCTTGACTGCCCATTGACCCCAGCAGCAGCACCCACATAGGCTGCGAGTGCGGTGCGGTGTGCATGGAAAGCCCTGGCTCCTCTAGAGAGGAATGGGAGGCTGGAAATTGGAACCAGTGTCAGGCAAGCTGGGGGGGTGAGCAGCCAACATAGGCCCACACAGCCCCAGTCGACTCTCGATTCATGTGCCACCCTGAGATCTGTAGCAGAGCCACATGATCTCGTCATCACGTGGCTCTGCTACAGATCTCACATAGGCGTTTAAATACCCTACCTTTTCTAAAGGTCTTGTACTTTGGCTAAAAACAATTTAGTGGCTTCAGAACCAGCCTCCAGCCAGGGGGCCTAGTCCTCAAGGGTCTGGCTTGCTGCCAGGTCAGTGTCCCCTGCCACACCTGGTGTTACACTGCCTCAGCAGTTTTCAACAAGCCCACCTGGAGGAGCAGGTCTGCTTTGCCAGGGCTGGGACACCTGTGACCTGCGTGCCTAACCATACCTGTTGTCATCTGCAGCTACTGGTTCCCCTCTTTTTCTTTTCCTTGATGGACCTGCTCTCGTCACATCTGACCCCAAACGTAAGTGACCTTCCTACCCTCTTTCCCCATGGGTCAGACAGTACACCCCGGATCTCTGGGCATCTCCAGTGTGACAGTTTCTATAGGTTGTCACCAATTTACAACTGATCAAAAAGTCCAGTCCCCTCCCCGCCCCTCACCTCATGTTCCCATGAGTGCAGCAGTGCTTTCGTGAGCCCACACGGGGGCCATGCTCAGCCCTTCCTGGGGCTCTTCTCTGGTCATAGAACACGGTTGACCCCCCGAAGGCTGTGGACACCTGTGCTGAAGTTCTTGAGTGTTTGCAGAGGCGGAGGGTGGATTGGCTGGTGCTCTTCCAGTTGACAGAGACGGGTAAGCTGGCCACTGTCTGGCTTGTGACAGCCGTGTCATTTCTTCAGACGCAGCCAATGGTTACGAATAAGCCCTTGGGGCTCCCTTTCCAAGCTGTTTTCTTGCTAAATTTACAACTGGTTCAACTGTGGCCAATTCAGTACCTCTTATTCAAAGCAACAGAGGACTTCTCAGACCACGGCTACCACGTGTAGGTGTCTGCTCTCCTGCCTGCAGACATCACCCCACGTGGTGTCTGCCCACCTTCCCAGACCCAGGGGAAGGGAGTCCTCAGCGTGGCCACACAACCTCATGTTGTCCCTGCATCCAGACACACTCCCAGAGTGCATGACAGCTCTGTCCCCAAGGCATCCCCAGAGCTGACTGAGGCCCCTTGGCATTGCAGATGCGGGGCTAGGGCACCTTCTCCTCCGCCTGGCCCCAGACCAGCATACCAAGCTGCTGCCTCTTGCCTTCTACAGGTAACCCCCCTGCTGGGCTGGTCCCCGGGGCCTGGTGTGGTCAGAGGGAGCAGCATTTCCCCAGGCACCTAGACTCCCACCAGTTAGGGTCACTTGCCTGCAGCTTGGTGCCACAGATGGGTGGATACACTCTCTGCACTAACCTACTTAGTCTGTGTCATGTTCTCTTTATCTCTAGTCTTCTCTCCCACTTCAAAGACGACACCATCATTAGGGAAGAGGCCTTTCTGCGTGTTGCTGTTGACATGTACCTCAAGCTGGTCCAGCTCTTCATGGATGGGGAGACCAGGGCTGTGTCAGCTCCGGCCAGCAGGAGACTAGAGCTCCAGGGCCAGTCCTCTCCCCAGCCTGTGAGAGCAGCTCCTGCCAGGGAACGGTGGGGTGAGGTGGCACACCAGTCCTGGTCCACTGTGTCCTGATCTGACTGTCCTCTCTAGGGCAACCCTGTACAACTCCTCACAGAAGCTCGTCTTTTTCTGCTGCAGTTAATACCTCAGTGCCTGAACAGCGGCTCCTCAAACATGGCAGAGGTAACCCAAGACCCTCTCCTTGGGCCTGATTTCACCTCTCAGCCCCAGGCTGTGGGTCCTGAGTCGTGTTTTCCTTTCTCACAGCTGCTGGCTGGTCGGGAAGACTGGGACCCTGAGGTGAGCAGCGCCCTTCTGAGCAGGCAGCGGGCTGTGCCGGACACTGACCTCTACCAGGAGCCCCGTCTCTTCTGACTGGATTCTGCTCAGTGCACCAGCCTGGCTCCTTTGTAAATAATTTATTGCAAGCATAACATGAAGCTCTTGTTGCACTAGAAAATGGGTTACAAATCTCCTTGGCTGCAGAAGTTAGGAAAAGGAATCAGTTACTCATCATCTGTCTGGCCTCAAGTAGCTCAGTACTTGGAAAATAAGCTGCTGGTCCCAGAGTGACAGAAAGGCTACGCACTTCTCAAGCTCCCTTGACCAGCCAAGGGAGAGAGGCGCCCTCCAGCCTGCCTGACACGTGATTCTACACGTGGGGCAGGGATGCAGCGTGGACTCCCAGAAGCACGCAAAGCTGTGCCCCAGTTAGAGAACGTGGAAGTGTCTTTAGACCCCACCTCACACCTGCAGAGTTCCAGCTGCTCTAAGTGCCACTGTCCCACCTGCCAACCTCAGGTAGGCTCTGGCTTCACAGCCTGGCCTTCCATGGCCCCAGAGGGGCTCGGGGACCCAGGTGGTGGCTCCGCCTCCAGGGGTAGGGCTTTGTCCTGGGTCTGTGTCAGAGGGTGCACCATAGACATATGCACATTGAGGTTGTGGGCCTTCTCAAACCGCCGGCCGCACTGGTCACAGGCAAAGTCCAGCTCTGTCTCCGCCTTGTGTTTGGTCATGTGGTACTTGAGGGATGCCCGCTGCCTGCACTGGAACCCACAGACTTCACACCTGGGGACAGAGGCAGGTGAGGGAGGCTGCACACCAGTCCCAGCCTCCAAGCACCCAGCCCACACTTACTGCAAAGGCTTGGCTCCTGAATGGCGCATCTGGTGGACAAGAAGGTGCTTCCTCTGCTTGAAGGTCTGTCCGCATTCATCACAGATGTAGTTGCGTACCTCTGGAGACCAGAAAGGGAGTGAGCATGGGTCCCCAAGACACATTAGCCCCGTGGTGTGTAACCTGGCACAAACACTGTGTGCCCACGCCAGGGCCTTGTTCACAGATGGGTATTTTCCTGATACAAACAAAAGCTTCTGAATGGCGCAGGTATACCATCTGGCTGACTACTGGGCAGGCATGGTGGTACAGTCTACAATTCCAGCCACTCAAGAGGCTGGGGCAGGAGGATCCCGGAATCCCAAGTTTGAGGCCAGCCTGGGCAACTTAGCCAGACCCTGTCTCAAAATGAATTAAAAGGGATGGGGATGTAGCTTATGATAGAGCACCCCTGGGTTCAGTCCATAGCACGTGTGTGCACGCACACACACACACACACACACACACATTGTGTAGGGCAGGAAAAAATCTGGAAATAATGTCCAGTGAAAGAAATGGCACATGGATGGGTTTCATGGTGAGTGAGCTAGCAGTCACATCACTGTGTTCAGAGTTCTAGCATGGAGCTCCCTGTTGTTGGGGACAACTCCTACAGCACCTCTGTTGGGAGGGATCCACAGGCTCAGGCCAGGAGGAGGCTGAGGGGGGTGGTGGTGGCAGGGAGGAGGTTCAATGCCTTTCCTGTACCTGATTTTCACATTTCTACAAGGTACACAGAACGGTAGAATGTTCTATAACAATGAACCCATGGGGGCAGGGTGCCAGACTCCTGTGCTGTCAGTCTAACAACTGCCTGGGTCCTGTAGGAGAAGGGCAGATTCACCTTGACCTCTCAAGTAGCCTTTGAGCACCCAAGGCCATCTAGTATCAAGACACAGTCTTGGTCCTCCTAAAAGGGTGCCCAGCCGTGGTCATGGTCACCACCCAAACTTGGACCACACCTCTGGGAGTCTGGCCTGTGAGGGTAGGTGCGTACCCGTGTGAATGAGCTTCACGTGGCGCTGCAGATAGCGGTCGATCATGAACACCTTGTTGCAGCCGGGGTGGGGGCAGGGCCTCTCTCGGACCTCCTCGTGATGCTCCTTGATGTGCTTCTGCAGGAGGGTACAGGCAAAGGATTCTGGCTGCTTGGTCTGTTCAAAGTCCCAACCCACTTCCCACTTCCTCAGCAGACAATGCCCGGCCCTCCTGGAAGCAGGGCAGATCCAACCGCTCCATGTACCCCCTCCTTCATGCGGTGCTGCAGTGTCTGCCACTGAGCTACACCCAGCCCCAGCCCCAGCTTCACTCCTCTCCAGCCCACAGGCAGCGTCTCTGACCACAGGGTCGGCTCTACACAGGTCTCCGGGACGGGGCTCACACTAACCCCTGTCACCCCTCAGCTGTTCCTCACCTTCATCCCGTCAGCCCCGCGATACACGGCTGTACAGCCCTGGTAAGGACACTTGTAGATGGTGGGCAGCTCCTCCCTGCAAGGCACAGCATTTGTGGAGGCGCTGCCCCGAGGAACAGGGCACCCGCACCACAGCCCCTCACCTCTCGCAGCGGAGCTGCTGTTTCCACCCAGGCTTGGGTCCCGGCTTCTTTCGAGGTTTTGGTTCTTCAGCCTTCTTGGCCTCTTTGCTTTCACTCTTCTTACCAGAGACCCTGAGAAAAAAAGACACCCCAAGATTCAGTCCCGACCTCCACTCTGACAATCCTTGGTGTTCCGTGCCTCTCTTCAGACCCCAGGTCCTCCTCCCGCTCCCATGACCTCGCTGCTTCTGGGCCAACTGGCACCACTCTGGAGACGGTGCAGGCGCAGAAAGCAGGTGTCTCCCCACCAATTGGTGCATCTTCAGAGCCAAAGCCTGTCTGCAGATGTGGACAACAAAGCTAAGAAGATGGAGGGTTGGTCCCTGTACCACAACCTCACACCAGAAAAAAGCTCAGCATCACCTCTGGACACTCCAGAGCCTAACAGGCAGGCCCAGAAAGCAAGGGCAGAGTCTAGAGGGGGCTGTAAGTTCACCCTGTGGCTGGGGCTAGAACAGGAGTGGGACTGCATCCAGAAACATGGGATGGTGGTTTCAGGTTGCAGCAGGTGTCCCAGGAGCATCAGGAGAAGCTGCAGGACACTTGTTTCCTTTTGGGCCCAGATAAGGAAACCCACAGCAGGCACCATGCTCAGCAGTAAAGGGCTGAAATTCTACCATCAGGAAAAAGGCAAGATGCCCATGTCATCACTGTTTTTGAACACACTATAGAGGTCCTGTGCAGAGAGACTCGGCAAGAAGAAAAAACGGAAGATAAACTATTCACAGGTGACACAGCTACATATGTGAAGTACCCTTCACAAAAATTACCAACAAAGGAGCTGAAGGTGCAGCTCAGGGGTCGAGCACCAGCATGCACACGGACCTGCAGGGTACAGAACCAAGTACAAGCCCACTGCTCTTTCTATGAAGGCCTAACCCTGGTTGATGGCTGACGGGGACCAGTTTGGAGAAGGTCGAGGACCTGAGACATCCCCTGGCATGGCCAGGATGCCCTTTAACAGCATCTATCCTGACTCCAAGAGCATATTTGTGTTTCCTGGCTCAGCCATCTGCTCCCTTGTTGAAAGCTGCAGGAGCACAGATGTTCTTTTTGGTTGTTGGCTGGTCATATTTTTATTGTTTTGTCTTTGTTTTGACTTTAAGTGGGTTGGCCAGGCCCCCTTACTGGTGTTGGAAGCTTTAAAGCTGTATTTTGGGGGTGTATAGAGAGTTATAGATGTTAGCAAAAGCTGTTTTCAGCTCTTCCTGGGGGAAAGAGGAGTGTTATAGCATGGCCATCTGTACCAGTTTCTTTCGGTATGGGACCGTCTTTACTCAAATTTGTTTCCAAAATAATATTAGAACTGAACCTAAAGCAACTGAAGTGCAGAGTGTGGAAAAGGATGGGAGGAAGATCTGGCCCTTTTGCTGGAGGGCCCCCACAGCCTCTTTCAGCCTGGCTGGCTGTTGGACTCCCTGTTTTCTGCTAAGCCTCCTCTCAGAGTCATCTTCAGTAAGGGTCAGCAAGGTAGCTAGGAAGGTGGGAGACTGAATTTTTAAAAAATATTTATTTTTTAGATGTAATTAGACACAATGCCTTTATTTTATTTATTTACTTTTATGTGATACTGAGGATCAAACCCAGGGCCTCCACATGCTAGGCAAGCGCTCTACTGCTGAGCTACAACCCCAGCCCTAAATTTGCCCTGTGAAATAAGGAAGTTGAAAACCAAAGAAATAAAATGATGTGATACCAAAAACAAAAAAACCTCAAACACGCCTGTGATCCTATGATTCCCAGCAACTCAGGAGGCTGAGGCAGGAGGATGCAAGTTTAAGACCAGCCACTACAACTTAGGCCCTGTCTCAAAATAAAAATTTAAAAAGGCTAGAGGTGTAGCAGAGCACCCCTGGGTTCAACCCCAGAATCTGAAAGAAAAGTAAATAAAATAATTAGGAACTAAATTAACCAAAGGCAAAATACTTGCATATTAAAAATCCAGAGCTGCTATAGCTAGAGACCACACACGTGGAAAGAGCCAATCATCCCCCGCCCCCCCAGCACAGAGCTCCACTGCTGTCCCCACCCACAGCCCAAATAGGGTGTAGCTCATGGTAGAGAGCTTTGCCAAGCATGGATGAACCCCGGTCTAATCCCAAATTCTGCAAAATAAAAATGAAAAAGAGATTTTTTTTTTTTGAGAAGTGGAGAAACCCATCTAAAATTTAACATGGAACTTTAAGGAATACTAAACAACCAAGTTGGCAGGGGCTGGAGATGTGGCTCAAGCGGTAGCACGCTCGCCTGGCATGCATGCAGCCTGGGTTTGATCCTCAGCACCACATACAAGCAAAGATGTTGTGTCCGCCGAGAACTAAAAAATAAATATTAAAATTCTCTCTTTAAAAAAAAAGAAATTACATTTGATGCATGACTGTGATCCCAGCTATTTGGAAGGCTGAGGCAGGATGCAGGAGGATCACAAGTTCAAGGCCAGCCTCAGCAACTAAGCATGGCACTAACAACTTAGCTAGACTCTGTCTCAAAATGAAAAATAAGATTAAAAGGCTGGGGGGATGTGGCTCAGTGATTAAGCACACCTGGGTTCAATCCCCAGTACCAAACAAAATAAACAAAAAACTTCCACAGATAAAAAAAAAAAAAAAAAAAACAAGTTGGCAGACAAAACTGTTACTGAATAC